ATGCAGCTCCAGTAGTAGGAAATAGTCCCACCGGTCAGTGTTGCATCAGGAGTTGGATGCAGATGGTTGTCAGAGGGTCTGTGTAAGTGGGAGACAAGATATTATTTTGCAAAGCGTATCTATGTCAAAAGTATCTTTAGTAGGACAATACTAAACAGAGCTATACAGAAAAGGATTTTAGTGTCACTTGTTTTTGCTGTATAATCAGAGGAAAAACAGGCCCAGACAGAGTGATTCCCCATCACCTAATTAGAGCAGTGGTCTAAATCACCCTTTAGAGTTGCTGTCTGGAGAAGGTCACCCTGTCTTTCAAATCAGGTTTTTGTGAATGCCTCTTGTGACCTTTCAGTGGAATTTACTTCCTGGTTTTGCTACTTTTTCCATTTGAAAGTGAAGTTTTCTCAGAGACCTGACACAACCCCCAAAGAATGCTCTGGATTGCTGTGTGCTTCACAGGATCAAAAAGAAGTTTTGGCCCAGTGGATAGAACTGATTTCAAAATTTTATCCCACAACAAACATTACTTGATGTCCTTACAGAGGATATGTATTTTGTACTTACTGCTGAATTTCTGAAAAAAACCACAATCAACTATGTCTGTGTGTATCTCCATGCTAGATTACATCACCATACCTGAGGAATGGTCTCAAAACCCACTGTTCTCACACACTGATGCAGAAAATAACAAATTTGGTCACTCAACCTGTACCAAAAGAGCTTAACTGCAACACTGAAAGAGGTTGATCAAAATTACTGAAGTTGAGAGTCTTTAAATTATTTTAAACACTGACACGTAAGCACTGAGATTACTCACTCAGTGCATGGGCTTTGCCAAAATCAAGGTCTCAATGGCAGGCAGAAGAAAATATTACTCCCCTGTCAACTTTGATTACACAACAAAGAAAATAATGAAACATAGCATATGTTGTCTGGTAAATTTTAGAAACAACAGCTTTCAGCACTCCATGCTTTAACTTTGTGCTCAAATATATCTCAGCTGTGGATGTTCTTCTTCCTTTAACACTACTCTCCTGTCACAACATTTCCAAGAGGAGAATGTAGATATCACACTCTTTTAATGAGTAAAGGTGTTAGAAGTTACAGCACCTACAGTGACAAATATAATGAAAAAACATGCCATTTAATAAAGTCAGGTTGTTATTTTTGCCCCTATGGACATATTAAGTATTTTTAACGACATCCGAAAATTTGCTTTGAAGGTATTTGGATGAATTTAAAACTTTTAATTAAGAGAAGTTTAAGACTGCAGGGAATTTCCTTCTGTATTTTCCTGCCTATTACCTAGTGATTCTCTTGTGGATGCAAAATCTCTCAGCTAGACAGACCACCTATACTCTTCATCTAACTCTGAAACAAAAAGTCTTTTTTCAACTTTGCTGGTGGAAAACCAGCTATTAATTTAGGTTTTATTCAACAGAGCTCTTAGACAAGTTCAGACATTTGCTTAAATGTTCTAGTTCATTTGGGCCATTAAGAACATCTATTACTATATTGTATTAAGTAATGTAAGTAATGTCAGCGTGGCAGTGATGGCTCTCAGGACAAAAAGTCTTTAAAAGATTGTCTACAGCTCACCAAAAATACCCATCCTTTTCAGGTCATAGAAAAAAACCCTTTAACATCCTAAGAAGATTTTACTGGAATGAGAGATGTAAGAACAAGCAGGTCTTCTATTACATAAACTGTTTAATTTGAAAACTGATTTATTACTTATGCTTATCAAAGACATATGACATGCAGACCACCAGATATTGGGCTAGACCACTACTACTACTTGATTTTCCCTACAATGCTCTGAGGAAACCTATTTATATCAGCACTGTAAAATCCTTGAGAGCTGAATATGCATTTCATGCAGCAGGAGAGTGACTCCAGCAGATCTCACAGATGAGAACGTCAGGTCAGCTCTTTCACAGTTCCTGCACACAGGTTTTTTCTGCACTTACCTTCCGCATGTGGAGAAGAAAGAGCTTTGACAACTTGGGCTAAACTTGCAGAAGTTATACAAATATGCCTTCACAAATGTATCTTCACTTAAATGATAAACTCTGCCCTCAACTGAGTTGGTTTTCACAGTGACCCAAAAGACATTTTCAAGGACAGTCCTTGTTACAAAGCATTTAAAGAAAAAATGAGCTACTAGGATTTCTGAGACATGCAGCTTACAAGTATGGCTTAACTTTGCATAGTAGTAATGCATATTTACAAGTGCCAGATTTTCAATTTATAAATATTTATCATAAGGACATGATTTTATCTTTAATTAGCCCAACTGTTAAGGACACTTCTAATGTGAGAAATGCAATTCAGTATTTCATACCAGATGTAGCCTCTACAGCTAGTCTTTTATCTCTGCTTGTAATGAGCAGATACTTAAGCCAAAACCATTATGTAATCTGTAAGAGATTAGAAGAGAATAACTACAGAAGATCTGGGCTTTGAACTTCATATCAGAATTTCCTGAAGTTGCATACCTCACTTTAAAGCACCTGTGCAATATCACCATTCTTTCAGTATGTGATTATTTCCTACATACATCCATATGACTTTCTTTCTTCATGGAAAGACTGAATTACTACACTGTCCTTCCTTTCCTGTCTCTCTCTAACCTGGTGAGTTATGGCTCTGTGTTTGACACTTCCAGGAAAAGTATAAATGTGAAAACTGGGATAGGTCTAGGTTTGATTCTGGCTTATCAACACTGAAATATGAAGCCCATCTAATAACTTGCATTGCCAAACACAGCAACCCCTAAAACTGAAATCTGATGTAATTACAAAACAAACCTTTGGAGTCCTTAGAAATACTGAAACAGCAACAGCAAGAGAGCAGAAGGAGGGAAGGACTGGTGACAGGCTGGGGGAAGAAGAATAGTGGCAGCCTGGTGGACTCATAAAAAGGCAGACTGACTTTCTTTTTCCAGAATAAACAGTTTAACAAATTTCTAAATTAAGTGTTATAAGGGGTTACCCTTCTTACACTGAAAGTCATAATTAAAACAACAAAAAAAAAGCAAAGTAGGCTGGGATTTCATTAGCAATATTCTATGTTTTAATCTTCCAAGAACTTACAAAGTGAACTGGGGGAAAACCAATTTCATGTCTAATGATATGCTGAAGTTGATTGTTCTGTGGCAGAGGTTCAGACAGTAGTGTGTCCTTGCCTATCTGTGCATCTGTCCCAGCAGGTCAGCTCCTCTGGGCCATGCACTGATACCACTCTGTGGTCTCACCAAGGCCGTTCTTCAAGTGAACAATGAAAGCACAGCCGTTACTAAGGAAACTCTGAGCCAACTTTTGATTCAGCTCATTTTGCTCAGCAGTCTGAGTCCCACTGAGCTGCCTGTTCTCTGTATTCATTTCATTAGCCAAGTGTTTGATTATTGGATTGTGAATATCACCTATTGACTGACTGTATAAAAGAGCAAGCAAAAGATCAGTGTTTAAACACATTCATTAGGGAACCAAACAACGAGCTGCACTAGAGATGGGAATGAGGGACACAATGGGAAATGGTGAGAGGAACAGAAAGGTGGCACAGCAAGGAGTTTGGGAATTTCTTCCATAGGGTTGCATTGCTGGCTTCCCCTTTTGGCTTTCCCCCATCATTTGAGGCCTGTTCAACTTTTGGTTAAGCCTCTGCACACAGGTTTGGAGAATCATCTGAAATATCCTCCTAAGAAACAGGATAATGTAACAACAATGTTACAATGACACTTTTGCATAACTTCTTTTACCTCTTGATCAATTGTATTCCCAGCACTGAGTGTTGCCAATTGTTAATAAAACATCTGGATGACAGAAAACTCTAGAACAGAACTACCCTGGTTTCCACATTAATGCTGATTTCCTGGGATAACACCCCCTGAACTAGGATGTGGTTTAGTCCACAGTACAAGGCAGTCACAGAGCTGCCCAACCTTCCAACAGCAGTGCTTCCACTATATTAACACTGGCACAACAATTAAAAAAGATGTTATGAGGCATTCTCAGCATGTCCCCTCATGGGGAGAAAACCACTTGTAAATCTCAAATCTGCAAATATATCAGTGCCCTGGAGAGCCCTCAGATAGATGTGAATTTTGGCCCTGCTGGCTGGAAACAGTAGGAGACTCAGAGCTTGGAAATAAGGCTGAGTTTGGATGAGCCCAGGCTTAACAATTATATGGCAAATTAGGAACAATATCATAAAAAATGTGCATTGTTCAGTAATCCAAATAATGTGCTCTCTTATAGATACAGAGAAAATGACTCTGATGCAGCGATGGCAGGAAATTTTGAGGGACTAGCACACTCCAGGAACATGAAGGCAATTAAGTGAAAACAATGGGAACAGTGTGGAGGAGTAGCTGGGTACTGTGTCTGTCTCCATGGCGTTCAAGTGGCATCAGACAAAGCTCAGGGATTTGGCACAATGGACTTGTTTAGCACATGTTCCACCTGCCCTTCATCCCAGAGATGGCCCCTATTAGCAATGGATATGCAAAGGATTGATTTTAGCAGAGCAAGACTTGTTTTAACACTGAATAAATCTGGAGTGCATTACACTCTTGGTTTAAAATTGGCTCAGTGTGGGAGAAAGCAACCTCCAAGGTAATTCTGAATTCTGTTTCCATGTTTTATGTAAAACATAAATTCTGGTTTTTTTCTCCTATGGCAATACCTGATCTTCCACTCCACAGGCAGGAAAAACTCAGGTTGCCTTATAACTGCAAAATGGAATCCTTGCTATTTATGTTGAAGAATTTTGTCATGCTTAGCTTTTTACTTATCACTCCAAGTTTTAAATTTTGTTTGGTACTTTTTCCAGGTGACTAAGCTCCGTTGATAATTTTGATCTAGGGGGAACAATGAGGCTCATAAGCAGTATCTAACACTCCTCGAAAACAGTAGCATTTAAGTTAAATGCATTTTGCCTGGCGGCTGAGCCATTAACGATTTGAAACAAAAATTAATGAATAGGAAAGATGGAGAAAATACCTGCTTTGTGAAACTTTTCCATTATCTCCTCACGAACTGATTTCTCCAAGTTGAAATAACCGTGGTCTTCGTCGGGTTTTTCCAGAAACAGAGGGATGTGCTGAAACACTATTATGTGCTTGCATTTCTGCTTTTCAGCCACAGCCAGCTGCTCATCCAGCCACACATCCTGGGCTTCCTTTAACTCAGGGCATCGGGAAGAATCAAAGAACAACTGAGAATTCAGCACAAGAAAGAAAACACCTCCAACCCAAAAGCTGAAGTAGTCGTCTCCCCAGTTCTCGCAGTAATCATCTATCGTCTCCCTTGTCGGAGCATTCCCAACATCGTGATTCCCACAGACAAACACCAGTGGGATGTCCTGGGCAGTGTTCTTCAGAACGTTCTTTAAGTCTTGTACTTGGTTTTTTCTCCATAGGGTTCCTAAAGAAAAAAAAACACAAACAACCACAAAACATTTGAGTATTTCTGTTATCTTTTCCCACCGTCAGTTTTTTAGCGTTTGTTTAGGGAACTATGCAGAGTAAGAAAATATTCTCTATTAGATGTGACCATGAATGCATTTTCACTTTAATATTGTGTATCCACTCAGCCCTTTCCCCCCTGAATCAAGTACTCAGCCATTTCCAGTAGCTTGCCTGAAGGCAGGCTCTGGACAGGAACCAACACACAGCAGTAGGTGATGCCACGGTCACCGTTTTACACCAAGAGCTTTATTCAGGATGATTCTTTTCATCTCTGCCCTGATGATGTGGTGAAAAAATGCAGCAACCTTGGATGGTGCAACAGCACAAGGGTAAAAACCAGGTCAACTTTTAGTTTATATTTTATGGTTGTGCAAAGGAATTAAGGGTTGTTGGAATTTTTTTTTTTTCTTACAAAAACTGCTTTAACAGCAAAAATATAATTAGTGTCTTGTGGTGACTTATTTATATGATGAGCCTCTTTTACTAATAAGCATGCCATTAATTTCAAAGAAAGGCAATTGTGTACTTTGCTGGTTTTTCCTGCATCTCTGCCTTTATATTAATATGCAAACCATACAGTTACTCTTCTGGTTGTCAGAAATTTGTCCCTGTCTAGGAAGATTTATCTTATTGCCAGATTAATTTAAAATCACTGAAAAAAATTTAAAAAGGATTTTTAAAAAAAAAATCCAGCTATTTTATTCTAATAATGACAGATGTTTTCTTAGGTTTTCTAAAGACTAATCTTTAATTAGATGCCATTGATATGTTTATTATTAATGAATTAAATAAACATGTATAAATTGTATTTTGTCCTGCAATCCATAACATATATCTAGCACAGACCCATTTCACAAATAATAACTGCATTTTTTAACCAAGAAGCTGTAACAGGATTTTAACAAGAACTCTGAACTCAGGTTTCTAACACACACTTGCACACAGGTCTGTGCAAATCAATCATCAGGTACTTTTAAATTCTGTTCTATTTTTGTGACTACACATACACATTATACACAGAAATGTATAAAGGGGTTCCTGTATTGTGAGATAAAAGCTTTTTTCACTATTTCTTATGTTGACAAACACTGAGCCTTAGTAACTATTACTAACAAATATTTTGATTCTTCTACATACCCTACAGATACAGGTTAAAGTTTCACCTTATTGCTGTTACTAGAATTCTACAGCTTTAGGAAAATACTGGGGGAAAAAAAACATATTAAAGCTAAATTATGGCTACATAATTTAATAGAGACAGATGTGAGATTGGATATGAGGTCCATAAAGTCAACATCCACAACTCTTGTGTTTAACTGTTGCACAGGGCACAAAGTTATTATAGGGAAGTCTTTGAGGAATTTGAGAAATACAGGGTATATGATAGCTGAGGAGTCTAGAAAGTAGTGGACTTTCTAGAAAAATGATCTAGGAAAACAGATCACTTTCTGGGGTATATTAATGTACCAGGACTGTGGTCAGTTTAGGTTGTCCTTATTAATCCCAGAAAACCTAGGGCAAATGACACCTCACGTTACCTGGAGAAGCTGGACTTTCCAAACTAACCACGAGAGATTCCACCAGACCTGGCACACTGCTGTCCCAGGGCTGGGGAACCTGGCTGAGAGTGCTGCTTTTCCTGCCACGCCCCACTTTCCTATGCAAAGAGTTGGAAATTTCGAGCTCTAAATGTGGCAACGTTTGGGGAAGGAGAGCGGGTAAATGCGAGGGGGGAAGGCTCTGTAGATCTGTGTAAACACATTACACCATGTTAAACTCCCTGCTATCACTTTGGGAAATTTAGCTAACAGTTGCAGAGTATAAAGACATTTATGCATAAGTTACAGAAATAATTTGCAGAATTATGTATACCTCTTCCCAGCGGTGAAATTCAAGCTCTAGAGACTAACACTTAGATTAGATTTCTCGACAGCAGGGCACTGATTCCCTCATTTAATGCAATATTATTTCTATAGCAACAGAGAAACATATTCAGTGGTTTATTGCAGAAAACAGATTGCTTGAAATGGAAAACAAGGCCTCTGCCCAAGAGTCCAGGAAATCAGACTAAGTAAAGATTGTTTTGGAACAATTGTATCTTGGCTTGACCTTTCCTTGGTAGAAGGTCAAAACAACTTCAAAACAAGAGAAACCCAGGGAGAGAAAGGTGGGAAAAGATGAAGGGATGTCTCAGCACCCTTGGGTTGTAGTGCTGGAGAGGAAGGGCTGGACTGCCACTAACCCTGGGCTGCACTACTGCACAGCACACTATTTGTGCCACAAGAGCCCTCCTGAGGGTACCTGCCTCTGAATTTGTAAGAGATACAGAAGATAAACGAAGTGGTAAAGGAGGAAGCCACTAGAAAACTACAGTGGTCACCGTCACAGCATAAAAAATATTCCTTTAATCTCTACCAGGCACACAGCTGGCTGTAATATTTAATTATTCCAAATATTATGAAGAACATTTCTATTTGATGACATGCATTATTTTAGCATAGATGGAGGTTTGTTGTAGGTGAATAGGGAAATAACACAGTGCTGAGAGGCAATGTTAAAAAAAAACAACAAACAGTTTGAGAAGCGACAGAGTAGATGCAACTGAAATAAATTTCTGTGCTGTTTATCCTGGCATCATGTGCAGTGACATTTTTAAATCCCAGGCTACAATTTTCTGTCTTTATGTCAGGCTGTGTAAATAAAGTCTTGCCCTGAGAATAAATGAATTCACAAATTAATAGCCCATAAAGGGCAGTTTGGCTTTTATAAAAACATGAAAGTGAGAACTGTTGCTAGTGCAGCTGTGCACAATTTTCCACAGCTTCCCAGTCTATCATTTCCGAAAGCCGAGGGATGTGAAGAGGAGCAGAAAGGTGCAATGTCAACGTGTCTGTGGCAGAACATCTCTCTGTTGTGTATCACTGTCTGCCTAAACACTTCCTGTGTTCCTTCTGCATTGCTTAAAGGAGTCAAGACAATCAGCCTTCACAGGCTGAAGGAGCAGATTTCACACGAGTACTTTGCTGAAGTTGGCTTCAGTCAGCAGAAGGAGAATTCACCGATCGTTCTGCCAAAGAAATAATCCTTCAACTACTAATCCTTAGTTAGAGTTTACTTCAGTATTCCACAGAACGGTGCACCTCTCTCAGAAAGCGGGTTTGGTTTTTGTAAGGCTCTTAAAAACAACTTAAAAGCACTGTTTACCCCCACACTGTATCTCTGCATCGCATGCTGACTGCAACTTTTGGATGTGGTAGCTCTTCCCTTACAGTGACCTCCATCAACACTGTAACTTTTCCTCCAGAAGTATTCCAGATGAAAAATTACCAATAAATTCACAGTAGCACCAGGTTTTCTCCTTATATGAATCAGGAGAGGGAAAGGAAGAAGTTATAATGCTATGATGAGTTGGTATCCCCGGATGCTTCTGTGTTGGGGTGAGGAGATGTCTGAGTCCTCCCCCCAGGGCAGGAGAAGCCTTTAGGATGAAACTACCCAAGATCCCTTTAGCCAACTTAACAACATGTAAAAAGATAGCACCATCATTTCCCGGATTTCTAAATTACTCAGAATTTTAATGTATCTCAAAAGTGTCCCAAACTTAAAGGGAACACATAATTTTTAATGAAAAGTTTAAATTTTCAGCTTGAAAAAGAAAAAAGAAAATTAACTTTTATGTGAGCAACATGCCCCAAAACCCTCTGATATGATGATGTTTAACCCAAGAGACTGATTATCAAAGAACAAGGAAGAAAGAGCTAAATTACAGATGAAAATACTGTACAAAATATCAGATAGAAATAGTACCTAAATTTGATAAAAGCAAACTAGAAAATGTCAAAACACCACCGATGAAACCAGAATTTATAAAAACACCAGGTCCATTCCTTCTGTAATTCTGATATCGTCAAAGACAAGGAATTCTTGTTGAAAGCAATCACATGACTGTTATAAACAACCCACAGAAGGATCTGGGTATTTTTCTGGGCCTTTCAGTGCCTCACATTTGCTTTACTCAAAGAGTCTAATTGTTTTGAGCACTTCCCTGTTCTTGAGGTATTTGTCCCTTTTCTCGTGTGTTTTCATGACTCTGCAGTTGCCCTACTCCTTTTGCATGCCCTTTAGAAGACTTTCCCTAGCACAAATTTCCAGAGAGGAGGGGAGTCCAAGGCTATATTGACAGCTCTTTCTGTAAGTCCCTTCACTGGAGGGAATTTAACTGCTAACCCCATCTCTGGGAAAGTCTCCTCCTGTCAGAACAGCACTGCCTTTCACCTCTGCTGCTGTTTTGGATACCTGGCTTTTGGTTCCAGATTAACAGGGTTACAACTAGGATCCTACATCACCCCCCTCAGCTGACCCCTACCCAGTGACACCCCACTGCTGTGCCTGTCACTTGGAGACAACACAGGTCCAAACCCGTGGGATCATCAACATCACGCTGTATCTTCCAGGTTCCTTCTGCAATTGCATCTTTATTGCATCTGATTTTTATGCACTGACACAAATACAAATTTAACTAAGCTCTAATCACTGCCATGGCCTAACTCTTACCCTCTTCTCATTTGTTTACTTTTTATCAGCCCACAAAAGCAGTGATTCCCTCATGGTCCAAGAACAGTTAGAACAAAACACTGTAGTCTTCATTTTTTCTAGGATGCTATAAAATTGTGATATAAGACAGGGCACAAACACAGGCAGAAAAGACCTCTCTGGTCACCCAGTTCAGTCTTACTCCTTCGTCTGTTCTCTTCACTGTTTCTTGTTTTAAACTTAAAAGCCTCCCCTCTGGTGTCTGCTGTAATGAACTCCTGCAATCCACTGCGTCATTCCAAATTATTACATGCAAGAATAAGCTGATCAATTTTAATAAACCCATTATGGTCATGTTCTGAAATAGGTTTTTTGGTTTAGTCTGTGCTTTAATAGCTAAAATGTCTCCTCTCTCTTCTTTAG